TTGTAATTTGGAGTTATAAGTTTTACAGATCTTAAAACACATATACACAGAAAAATAAGACAGGCATGTTATGGAAACAAACACACATACACACAAAAAGCATAGCGTGGCCACATTATTTTAACGGAAAAATAAAACTTTTTTTAGGAACCTGTGTTAGCTGACCAACTTAAAGATCCAGGCGGCAGAAGCCAGGAAGCACACAGGTGGTCCCATTAAGGACTGGATTAGCAGATGCTGCAAAAGGGAACAGAAACACAAGGACGAACACCTATACAGTCTTAGAGTGGAAGGACAGGGGGAAACAGATCCAGTGGGAGGCAAACAGCAAACGGCTAGAGAAGAGGGGAGGGAGTGGGAGCCCAGCATCCAGAGCCCACTGGCATATGGAGCCTTGTTTGTTTTATGTTGGGTGTTAGATAGTCCCTATTTAAAAGGATTTTTGTAGAAGGCAGCCCAATGGCGTTCAGAGATCAGGCCTCAAATTGCAAATGTCCATTTTTACAAGTTTATGCCAAGTCTCGGGACTCAACACCTACCACAATGTATCCACTATGATAAGACTCTTGAGTCAAAAAACAGAGGGGTGTGAGAATTGTGTGGGCAGCTGTGTCCACCCCACAAAATCCCACCTCAGTGAGGACTGCCTCACTGCTTAGTGAGGCTGGGAATCTGGCACGGACTGTGACTTCAGCAGACTACCCAACAAATGTATGGGCCCTGGACCCTAGGGGCGGGTACTCGAAAAGGGAACTCACCCAGACGAAGCCAATCTTAGCCTGGAGAGCATGGACAAGAAGAGCGTTTTCCAACACGTAGCCCTGGGCCAGTGGGAAAAAACAGCCCATCTCGGTGGAACATCCAGCTATTAAGGCTTTTTCCAGCCCGACAAACCTCTGCAGATGCAATAATCCAAATCAAACCAAATCAGACCAAATTAAAAGAAGTCCAGGTTTAATGGATGCCAACGCTCCTGGGCGGCCCCCGGGAAAAACATGGAGAGGAAAAGGGGTGACCCCATGTTCGTTCTCGGGGGGGCAGTTTAAATAGCCTATGGGGGTGGTCTTGACCCTCCCTGGGAAGAGGGTCAGTGTTCGCCGGGCTTTCTTGGAGGTGGAGTCTGGACTGCGGCCACTCTCAGGGGAGGGGTCTTGGAACTTTCCACTAAACATATATATGGACGCCAGGGGGCTGGGGTGACGCTTTCAACCAAACAATATTCAGCCTCTGGATTGGTTATTTGGGATGGGGTGTTCAGGGCGGGAAATGTCTGTTTACAGGGACTGGCTCACAGTTTCAGAGGCTTAGTCCATTATCATCATGGCAGGAAGCATGGCAGTGTGCCGGCAGACACGGTGCTGGAGAAGGAGCTGAGAGTTCTACCTGTGAATCTGTAGGCAGCAGGAAGAGCCACAACAGCAAGACTTGAGCTTCTGAGGCCTCAAAGCTCACCCCCACAGTGACACACTTCCTCCAACAAGGCCCCACCTCCCATAATGCCTCTCCCTATGGACCAAACCTTCAAAGACATGAGTCTATGGAGGCCATACCTATTCAAAGCACCCCAGGAGCTAAAATTGCTTGCGGCCAAGCCTAACTTGGTTCCCAGGCTGAAGAAGAGAATGAACTCCAACAAGCTGACTTCTGATCTCCACATGTGCCCCGGGTCACACGCTGTGAATCCCCACACAATAATAAATTCATGTGATCTTTTAAGTTTAAAAAGAAAAAAGAGGGAGCTGGAGAGATGGCTCAGTGGTTAAGAGCATTGCCTGCTCTTCCAAAGGTCCTGAGTTCAATTCCCAGCAACCACATGGTGGCTCACAACCATCTGTAAAGAGGTCTGGCGCCCTCTTCTGGCCTTCAGGCACACAGACAGAATATTGTATACATAATAAATAAATAAATAAATATTTAAAAAAAAAAGAAAAAAGAAAGAAAGAAATCCTGCAAGGTCACCCAGCTGGTGTCAGAGATGGGAGTCAAACCCAGGCAGTGTCTCCTGATTGGGCCTTAATCCACTAGACCCTACTCATACTGAGTTCATCTTGGCGTGGAGGGAGGCTGGGAACCCCCTTCTGCTCAATCCTGGTATGAACAGGCCCTGCCTGGAGAAAAAGTTGGGGACCTGGAGCATCAGGCTGCAGAGGAGGCACTGGGTAGCTAGAAAGTATCTTTCTCTTACCCTGTGCTCTACCCTGTGCTAAAGCCCTTTAATGGTGTGACTTGGCTTTCCTGGAAGCATTAACAAGCACATGATCAGCCTCCCAGCCTCAAGCCCAAATGCCTGACAGCATCCGAGGAGGAGCATGTACCTTGGCTCATTAAAGTCTGTTGTGGGGAGGGGACAACTGGAGAGATGGCTCAGCCCTTAAGAGCACTCAGCTGCTCTTTCCAGAAGTCTTGAGTTCAACGAAACCACTAGGTGGCTCACAACCGTCTCTAGTGATGCCCTCTGATGCCCTCTTCTGGCATAAAGATGTACATGCAGATAGAGCAATCATATATTAAATAAATAAATCTTTAAAAAAATAAACCAGGTGGTAGTGACGTATGCCTTTAACCCCAGCACTCAGGAGGCAGATGCAGGCGGATCTCTATGAGCTCGAGGCCAGCCTGGTCTACAAGAGCTAGTTCCAGGACAGGCTCCAAAGCTACAGAGAAACCCTGTCTCAAAAAAAAAAAAAAAAAAAAAAATCAAAAAAAGGGCTGGAGAGATGGCTCAGTGGTTAAGAGCACTGACTGCTCTTCCAGAGGTCCTGAGTTCAATTCCCAGCAACCACATGGTGGCTCACAGCCATCTATAATGAGACCTGGCGCCCCCTTCTGGCATGCAGGCACACATGGAAGGCTGTACACATAATAAATAAATAAAAAAAATTTTAAAAATCAAAAATAAACAAACAAACAAATATAAAGAAATCTAGCACAGACTTGGCCTCAAGAGCTCCTGAGTGAAGGGGGGGCACGGGCATCACAGGTGACCTCTCCCGTGTCTGAACTGCAGACACAAGCGAAACTTAGAGCCACTTTGTATAGCATCTATGTAACCCCAGGGGACCTGAGGACCTCTTCTGGGTACTGCACTCACACAAAGAAATAAAAATAAAATAAACTTTAAAACACTCACCACCCAACTGGGCAGTGGTGGTGCACACCTTTAATCCCAGCACTCAGGAGGCAGAGGCAAGCAGATCTCTGAGTTTGAGGCCAGATTGGTCTACAGAGCGAGTTCCAGGACAGCCAGGTCTACACAGAGAAACCCTGTATCAAAAAACCAAAACCAAACCAAACCGACCAAATAAACGGAAAAACAAGCAAAAATAAACCTCCTCTTGGTTCTACTTGAGTGTTGGAATTCCTGGACGGTTCTGACAACAGCGTGTTTCTTGTGGTACGTGGGGAGAACTTTCCATCGCTTCAGACAGGAGCTGGAGAATGTCTCGCGATAGCTAGCATGCTGGAAACCGTGGAAGCAAGTTTGCCTGCATGCCTTACTCCCCTCTTTTTGATTACTTTTGGGGGGGTAAAGGGAAGACAGCCTCAAACTCAGAGCCGCACTGCCCCTGCCTGCTGTGTACTGGGGTAAGGTGTGAGCCACCACACCCAGCTTAACGACGTCTCGTTTGTTTGTTTTCAAGAGAATGTGTTGCGCTTGGAGATCACAGGACAACTTGTAGAAGTTGGCTCTCTCTCTCTCCACCACGTTGATCCCTTGGGATTGAACTCAGTCAGGTCTCGGTGGCAAGCGCCTTCGCCAACTGAGCCATCACGTCCAACCTGTTCTTTTCTTATACATGTAAACCAGGCAGTTTTATGACACACTACATGGACTCCCCACAGACCCTTCCCTGTGACAGTTCATTCAATGCTCAGAATCTCACAATCACCCAGGGAGGTAGTCGCTTCTGGCTGTAGATGGTCCTGCTTCCTCCGGGACATCTTGTGAGGTGGCTCTGCCACTTCCCTCCCTCCCAGGACAACCAGGATTATTAGGGTGGGGTCATCGAGGGAGAAGAGAGACAGCAATTCTCTGGAAAAGGTTTGCAGTACCTATCATCGCCCCTGGCATCGGAAGAAACTTGGGTTTCATCAGGAAGACAGAATGCACTCTCACCTGGGACAAAAGCCTCTTCCTCCCTGGCATCCTCCACACGGGCCTGTGTGCCAGCATAAGTGATGACACTTGCCAGGGTAACTGAGGAGGAGGCAGGTATGATGTCTGCCACCCCATCTGTGACCACGAAGATGGTGACTCCAGGATCAGAAATAACCCCATAGTCAGCTTCCATGTGCCGGTCCTCCCGGCCATTCCCAGAGAGTCTGGGCCCTGAGTCAGAGCGAAGAGTCCAGAAGCAGCCATGGACCCAGGTCACTGGGCAGGGACATCACAGAACTAGCCTAGAGATTTTTTTTTTAATAAATCAAAAGCCTCTACCTTCAGAAGTCTGCTCGGGTTGACTTTCCTCATGGCTTCACAGATGTGGGCTGTGGGGCTAGGGTGAGAACAGACAGGAGCCAGCCCAGCTCTCTCTCTGGACCTTTCGTTCAAAGATGTCTCTGGTGGAGGCGGATGGTGAAGAGCCTGGTCCTGTCTTTAGGGAGCCACCAGGCTCTGGGCACAGTGGCAGCGATACCATAGAGAGGGGCATACAGGATGAGAGAACAGGGACACCCAATGTCAAGTGTCCCCCTTATTCATCCCCTCAAAATAGTCTGGAAGTCTCCATCCCCGACTGAGTCACCCACCCCATCCTCGGGGCACCCCGACTGGGCATGAATGGAACTCCCCCTCCACCCTACCCCTCCTCAGTCCAAACGCCTTGTAACTGATTCCCCGGGATGGAAAACTGACTTCCACAAGCCCTAAAAATAACTGGACCACTTAATACTCCGAACATAGCCTCTCCCTGCCCCCACCCACCCACCCCCAGCCAGCCAGCCAGATAAAGGCAGCTGCCTGGCTGGCAGAGAACAGAGACCCAGAGCCAAGGTGGAGAGAAGGCGTGGGACCCGGGAACAGAACAGAACTGAGTAAGGCCCTAGAACGCAGGACTACAGACTCCAAGGCTGCACCTGCTAGACACCCAAAAGCTCCCGACTCCAGGCCAGACCCTCGGTGAGTACCCTCACCCCAGCTCTCTAGGCTGTGGCCCCCTGGATCGTGCAGCCTGGGTGTCAGGAGTGAGCCTAGCCGAAGGCTATCGAGAGGCGTGTGGGCACAGGTGTATAGAGCAGGCGCCAAGAGAGAAAATCCAGCAAGATTTTTCTCTAGAAGGTAGCAAGCGCTTGTATGTGTTCAACAGCTGCTGCGGTTACCACAGGCTGGCCCAGGAAGCAGGTTCTCTCTGATCTAGCATAATCCGGAGAGAGTTTCAAATGAGCACCTGGAGTTCAGATTTTTTTTAAAGTTATATTTTTGTTTGTGTGTACGTGAGTGGGTCTGTGTGCCGTGGTGAAGGTGTGGCCATCAGAGCACATTGTTTCTCTGTTTCACCATGTGTGGGGGTCCCAGGAATGGAACTCGGGTCCTCAGAATCGCAGGAGGTACCTTGACACCAACCCATCTTGCTGGCCCTGGAGTTTTGATTTTTAAAATGCAGCTCTAGGCCTGGGATATGGCTTACTTGGTGAAGTACTTTAATCTGTCTTGGGGGCAGAGGCAGGAGGGTCTGAAGTTCAAGGTCATCCTCAGTCATTTACAGACCACCCTGGACTAGAGTGAGAGCCTGTCTCAAAATAAATAAATAAATAAAATTGCAAATATGGAACTACTATCGCTTCAGGGCCTGAGGCCAGTCCAGAGACAGAGGAAAGCTGGGAAGGTAAGAGACCAGGAATAGCAAGAAAGCAGGAACATGGCCTAGGGAGAGCCCAGTGCCCAGTATTGTTGGTGACAATCTTGGCATATATGACCCCAGAGATTTCATGCCCAGGCTAGCCTGTGAGCAACTTCCCTTGTGAGGGAGCCTGGGTACGACAACATTGTCCTAGGCCATAGTCTTGTCCCGTGGGAAAACCCCCAAAGCAAGTGTAGGGCAGCTCAGCACAGAAGTTCAGGTCTGGAACTACCCAGGGTAGACATCCAGAGCAGGCTGGTGCCAAAGGGGCGTACGGGGTGGAGGTGGTGGTCCCAAATAGTGGGTGGTTCTGAGTAACTGTCTCGGCGTAGGAGACCTATGCACAGACAGTTTGTGAAACTTACTATTTCCTGAAATTGGCCCCAAACATGTCTGTAGGAGTGGAGTGGAGATAGGATGGCCAGGAGCCAGGAAACTCGCCTCGGTCTTTCCCACCCCTCACGGAGCCTCCATGGACAGCTCCTGCCCCTCGCTGGGCCTCTGTTTCCCTAATGACAGGACTCTGAGAACCCTTCAGTCTGACCTCTTTGGCCTCTGTGACCCTAGCAAGGATACTGGGGGTTCCTGGGAATTGGGGTTGGGTGTGGCTGGTGATCGGTATAGGATGTCAGCTCGGGCCACCCTCATGGTGATCAGCTATAGCATGGGTTTGTGTGTGGTCTCCTTATCAGAGCTCAGAGACAAGAGGGGCCACCCAGAGGTTTTGCTTGGGGGACAGGCAGGAAGTGTCATACCTCACCTCCTCAGGGCTCTGATACCCATGGTGGACAGGCCAGGAAGGGACTGAGGCAGGCAGCCTACCCTCTTCTCCCTCTGGGATAGGAGGTCAGGAGGATATCGTTTCTCTTGTCGATCACCGGTATTCCTCCTTCATCCCACACACTCAGATCTCTGAGCGGTGGGGATCCTCCAGTTTGGCCTCTAGGCCAGATACCTTGAAACTTCACAGGAAGCAGAAGGCAGAGTCTCCTAGGAGTACAAAGTATGCAAGGAGATGACATGGGACATAGGTACACCAGGTCTCCCTGGCCGAGGTGGAACCTCCCTCTGAGAGCCATGGTGTCTGGCTGAGGCATGGACCTCAGCTATATTTAGTGCCAAGTGCAGGGCGGGGCAGGGGGTCAGGACGGCACATAGTCCACATTCTTTCCCTAATGGCCTCTGGGGACTGTCATAACACCTGTCACAGGACAGACTGGACATACATGAAACAGACCAGAAGATGACTGGAGGGGTGTGAGGTCACTGAGGAGTGAGGAGAGTGGAGGAGAGGTACGCCAGCCTTGGTGGAAGCTGCTTGGGGCCCGGGAGGGGTCAGGATCCAGATTCTGGCTGGAGGCCCTGCCCTAGAGACTCTGAAATATGCTTGCATGTGTACAACCGGGAAGGGCTCTCTGTGAGCCAGGGATAGCGCTCCCATGTCCAGAGCTGTTTTGGCAGAAGTGATCTTAATCCCACAATCTTCTACCACACACAGACCCTGGATATGTCACCCCCCAAGTCTCTTAGGGTTGCCTGTTGAGGACTAGAGGGGCCCCATGGCCAATAAAAGAGCCCCACATACCCAGCCCCTTTATTTCTTGGGAGTGAGGCCCTCAGTAAGGTCTACTCTTCCAACTCAGCACTGCTCACAGCTCATTCTACAGGATCTCACTCTGGGCATGATGTTTCTTATCCTTAACGGCAAAGAGTTGTGGGGAGAAAAGGGCATAAGATACCATTAGTTCCCGACTGGGGATGTGGCTCCATTGGCAGAATGCTTGCCCGTGCATGCACGAAGCCCTGGGGCCAAGACCCAGCGCCTAGAGTGGAGGCATATTCCAGTAATTGCATGGCTTGGAAGGTGAAGACAGGAGGATTGGAAGTTCAGCTATGCAGCAAGTTTGAGGCCTGTCAGGGCTACTTGGGACCCTGTCTATAAAAAAGAAAAACCCTGACCTAGAATTCAAATGTTGGCTCTGCATAAACATGAGCGGTTTCTCCTCCTTGGTCCTCTATTTAACCAGCAAGGGCTGTGGACCCAGGGGCTTGGGAAAGGTTGGAGTGAGCTGAGAGCCAAGAAGTGGAGGTTGGGAAAAGGTTTCTGGTCAACGTGCTAATTCCGCCCTCTGGTGTTCAGAGAGGGAATTTCACCCCCATAGGAAATGAGTCTTCATTTAGGCTTCTCCTAATATAGGAGCGCCCACTTGTGAGTCTCCCAGGGATAAATGATTTTGACAGAGGGAGATGTAGATGACTTATCCAGTTTTCCCACTGGAGTTCCAGATCCCTCCAATGGCCCACAGGGCCATCTGTGTCCTACCTGATCCCAGCAACCCAGATGAGACAGGGAAGCAGGGGCTCACGGTGATGGATGGATACACCAGCCAGGCAAGTGGCAGAGTGAGCCTCAGGTTGGCTAGCTAGAGATGTGGGAGGAGCCCCTTAGTGGGCTCCACACGGTCCCTCGGCCTTTCTCCTGCCATTCATCCCAGGAACTGGCCCTCATTCCACTCACCCCTTCTCCTTCTTTCCAGAATGGCTCACGCCCAGACACAGGTGGCTCCTGCACCAACCGTCCAAATGAGGACCAGAAAAGAGGACCTCTCCCTCCCTCCTCCCCCAGCCCTGGAGGGTCTGCCGCTGCCTCCACCCAAGGAATCCTTCTCCAGGTTCCAGCAACAGCGGCAAGCCAGCGAGCTCCGCCGTCTCTACAAGCACATCCACCCTGAGCTTCGAAAGAACCTCGAGGAAGCTGTGGCCGAGGACCTGGCCGAGGTGCTGGGCTCAGAGGAGCCCACCGAGGGCGATGTTCAATGTATGCGCTGGATCTTTGAGAACTGGCGACTGGATGCCATTGGTGACCATGAGAGGCCAGCCGCCAAGGAACCTGTGTCAGGTGGCAATGTTCAGGCCACCTCTAGGAAGTTTGAGGAAGGTTCCTTTGCCAGCACCCCAGAGCAGGAGCCAGCTGGGTCCCGGCCATCTGGAGGCGATGTTCAAGCTGCCCGACAGCTGTTTGAGACCAAGCCGCTGGACGCACTGACAGTCAGGGAGGAGGCGGCAGAGGCCACCGCGAAGGAGCCTGCAGCCAGTGGAGACGTACAGGGTACCAGAAAGCTCTTTGAGACGCGTCCTCTGGACCGGCTCGGGTCCCGCCCCTCTATCCAGGAACGGAGCCCCTTGGAGCTGCGCTCAGAGATTCAGGAGCTGAAGGGTGACGTGAAGAAGACAGTGAAGCTATTTCAGACGGAACCTCTGTGTGCCATCCAGGACGCAGAGGGCGCCATCCATGAAGTCAAGGCTGCCTGTCGGGAGGAGATTCAAAGCAACGCAGTGAGGTCAGCTCGTTGGCTCTTTGAGACCCGACCTCTAGATGCCTTCAACCAGGATCCCAGCCAGGTGCGGGTGATTCGGGGGATCTCCCTTGAGGAGGGAGCCCTGCCGGATGTCAGTGCGACTCGTTGGATCTTTGAGACTCAGCCTCTGGATGCCATCCGCGAAATCTTGGTGGACGAGAAGGACTTCCAGCCATCTCCAGATCTCGTCCCTCCTGGTCCAGATGTTCAGCAGCAGCGACGTCTGTTTGAGACCTGTGCCCTGGATACTCTGAAGGGGGAAGGAGACGCTGGGGCAGAGGCTCCACCCAAGGAGGAGGTGATCCCTGGTGATGTCCGCTCTACACTCTGGCTGTTTGAGACCAAACCCCTGGATGCTCTTAGAGACCAGGTCCAAGTGGGCCATCTACAACGGGTGGGTCATCAGAAGGGTGAGGGGCTAACGACCGCCTGTCTGCCTAGTGATGGCACTTCAGCATTGCCTCTGTCTCAAGGTGCCCCCCAGAGTGATGGGTTGAAGGGGGACGTGAAAACCTTCAAGAATCTTTTTGAGACCCTTCCCTTAGACAGCATCGGTCAGGGTGAGCCTTTAGCCTGTGGAAATATCAACCCAGCACAAGCAGCTGATTCTGCCAAACAGGGCACAGATTCCCCCGTCTATGCCATGCAGGACAGCAGGGGACAGCTCCACGCCCTAACTTCTGTCAGCAGAGAGCAGATAGTCAGAGGCGATGTACAGGGCTACAAGTGGATGTTCGAGACGCAGCCCCTGGACCAGCTGGGCCGGAGCCCCAGCACCATTGATGTCGTCCGAGGCATCACTCGGCAGGATGTGGTGGCTGGGGATGTCGGCACCAGGCGGTGGCTCTTTGAGACACAGCCACTGGAGATGATCCACCAACAAGAGAGACAGAAACGACAGGAGGAGGACGGGGAGGGTCCGGAAACCCCTTCTGAGTCCCCCCAAAAAGGCGACGTGCAGACCATCCGCTGGCTGTTTGAGACCTACCCCATGAGCGAGCTGGCAGAGAAGCAAGAATCTGAGGTCACAGACCCCGTGAGCAAGGCCGAGGCACAGTCGTGCACCTGGATGTTTGGGACCCAATCTCTGAACCAGGGAGAAGGCTCTGGGGAGCAGCACCTGCAAACCAGCCAGGTCCGGGCTAGAGACAGGCAGACAGACAGACATGTCTTTGAGACTGAATCTCTGCAGGCATCAGGCCAGCCCTGTGGCAGAAGGCCTGTAAGGTACAGCAGCCGGGTGGAGATTCCTTCAGGGCAGGTATCGCGGCAGAAAGAGGTTTTCCAGGCACTGGAGGCCGGCAAGATGGAGACACAGGAGGCCAAGAGAAGCCCTGAGTCCATCCCCACAGGCTCTGTGCACAAATTCACCTGGCTGTTTGAGAACTGCCCCATGGGCTCCCTGGCAGCCGAGAGCCTCAGAGGGGACAACCTCCAGGAAGAACAGCCTAAAGGCTCTGCAGATCGTGGGACCCCAGAGAGGCAGGAGACAGCGGCTGAGAGAACCCTCCGGACTCTGCACGCCACTCCCGGCATCCTGCACCATGGAGGCATCCTCATGGAAGCCCGGGGGCCAGGGGAGCTCTGCCTCGCCAAGTATGTGCTCCCAAGTCCAGGGCAGGGGCGCCCCTACATACGGAAGGAGGAGCTGGTCTGCGGTGAGCTCCCCAGGATCTTACGCCAAGTGCTGCTCAGGGCAGATGTGGACCAGCAGGGGCTGCTGGTTCAGGAGGACATGGCTGGCCAGCTCCAGTTCCATCCACTCAAGCTTCCAGGGCCAGGTGACACTGGGAATATTGAAGACATGGACCCTGAGCTCCAACAGCTGCTGGCTTGTGGCCTTGGAGTCTCTGTGGCAAAGACGGGGCTGGTGATGCAAGAGACGGGGCAGGGCCTAGTGGCACTGACCGCTTACTCCCTCCAGCCCCAGCTAACCAGCAGGGCCCCCGAAAGGAGCAGTGTACAGCTGCTGGCCAGCTGCATAGACAAAGGAGACCTGACGGGCCTTCACAGTCTGCGGTGGGAGCCACCAGCAGACCCAAGTTCTACACCAGGCAGGGAGGAGTCCCAGGGGTTTCCCCCGGCTGAGAGCATCATACAGGTCGCCCCATTAGACTCCACCATGGAGATGGGACACCGCAGAGTTTCAGGGGCCGCACCCTGCACACCTCCACCTCGGGCAGTTGGAAAAGTGGTGGCTCAGGTCCCGTTGCAGGAAGCGAGAAAGCAAGCAGATACCAGCCCGGCTGGGCAGACAGTAAAAGCAGCCTTAGGAGAGCCAGAAGGAACCGCAGCTTCCCCTCTAGGGTCTGGGACCCCAGATCTCCAGGAAGCCATGCAAAACCTGCGGATGGCAACTGCAGAGGCCCAAAACCTGCACCAGCAAGTTCTGAACAGACATCCACGGGGCTTGGACCCCGTGGTCACCTCCATGCCTAACCAAGATGTTCTGCAAGCATCGACTCCTGCCACCACGGTGATCCAAGGCGACATTGGGCCTGTGGCCAGAAGTGACGCCAGGATCCCAGCAGCCCCCAGAAAGGTCAGTGGGGACAGCAAAGTAGTCCCCAAAGGGCTGCCTGGGGGGCGGGTGACCATACAGGATGGTGTCTATACTGCTCACCCTGTGCGGACCTCTGACCCACCTGGGGCTGTCCAGCTTTCTGAAAAAGAGTCCCAACCAGGGGGCGGGGAGAGTGCACTCTCCACCCACAGTCCCGGCCCAGCCCAGGCAGAACCAGGTCAAAACCCCAGGTTAGGGTATCATGAGCCCGGGGGACATACGCAAAGGGCCTGGGAACCTCCGGGGAAGGTGATGGCCCAAATCCGGCCCGAGGGCCTCCAAGCAGCCGACACCGCCCTGAAGACTGTCCCTCTAACTCATCACACTCTGACATCTAAACACGGGGCAGCAGGTGCCAGCCTGGCCTCCCATAATGCCTCTCTTCCTCCCCCTCCCGCTCTCTCAGCTGCTGTGACAGAACCTCACCACCCAGCTCAAGGCCACCAGCACACAGACTCCATCCAGCAGGCCTCCAAGCCCCTGCAGGACCCCCTTCTTCACACTCACAACAGACCTGCTGGCCAGAAAACCCCTGAGGGGTCAGAGACAAAAAGCACCATGTCTCCAAGAAAGAAACCCCCAGTGCCTCCCAAACCTGCACATCTAAGCCAAGTCCACCCGCCTCAGAGGCCACCCAAGCCCTCAGCAGCCTCTTCCAACGTCTCAGAAGCAGGACGAGAGTGCAAGCCAGGTGAGCCTGACGCAGCCAAAGTTCCCAGAACAGCAGAGCCAGAATGCCTGCCTCCAGCCGAATGCTCCAAGGGACAGACCCCGGCCAAACATCAGCAACTTCTCAGCACCATGGCTTCCAGGCCGAGCAGGGGTCAGGTACCCAGCAGCACCCAGAGCCCTGAGTCCCTGGAGGCGAACACTCTCAACAATGATGTCACCCCACCACAAAAGGACCTTAGCTCCCCAAAAGAGCAGTCCACAGACTGTTCTGAGCAGGGGACCCCTGAGAGCCCAGAGACTATACAAGGCAGCCATCAAGAGCTCCAGGGCCTCCTAACCCAAGTGCAAGCCCTGGAGAAGGAAGCAACCCACAGTGTGGATGTGCAGGCCCTGCGGAAGCTCTTTGAGGGTGTATCCCAACTAGGAAGGGATACTCCTCAGGTTCCCACTGCACCCCACAAGACTGAGGTGTCTGTGGAGCAGGCCTTTGGGGAGTTGACTCGGGTGAGTGCAGAGGTCGCCCAGCTGAAGGAACAGACCCTAGCCAGGCTGCAGGACATTGAAGAAGCAGTACACAAGGCTCTTAGCTCCATGTCTAGCCTCCAGTCTGAGGCTCACACAAGAAGCTATCCACAGAGAATGCCAGAAGACCCTAGCATGCACAAGGCCAGGGTCTCCACCAGCAGCGGAGACAGACCTATGGGCTCAAGTCAGGTCAAAGATCCAACTGTAGTCAAAAATCAAGGCAAGGTTGAGAGCCATCCCCAGGAGCAAGGTCAAGCCAAGATCTTAAATCACACAGAGGCCAGAGGTCAGGCAGCATTGACTGCCCTTCCCTCCGTGAGGCTGAAGACGCCAAGAGAAGAGTCTGGTCTCCAACAAGTGTCACCTTCCTGCAGGGGTTCCTCCTCCCCAACTTTCATCTCTATTCAATCAGCTACAGAGAAACTTCTGGAAGCTTCTAGCCCTCGGGGAAGCCAATGTATCTCAGGGAAAAGTACACACCTAGCTCAGGGCACAGGTCAAGCTCTGTTCTACCAGAGAGATATCCAGGACCAGCCTGGGATGGTTATCAAGGGCTCTGTGCCCACAGGGCAGCAAAAGAATGTCTTGGAATTGCAGACTGGGTCAGCTAGCTCCAAGTCCTACGGAACCACAAGAACAGTGACTGAGCAGTATGAGGAGATGGACCAGTTTGGGAATACGGTCCTCACTTCCTCCACCACCATCACCCATCAGGCAGAGCCCCTGGTGGAGCCCAGCCCACAGCTCCGGCTCCACACTGCTCCCTTGCTGAGGCAGTTCCTACACAGCCCCTCAAGGTTCAACAGGGATGGGACAGAAGCTGAGAGAGCATGGTTTCCCTGCAGCCACATCCAGCCAACTGCCCAGTGAACCCCTCTGTCTCCCATCCACTCTGGGTTCCTCCCCCAGAGCTCTAGGACTGAGTCCAGCACATGTGTGGAGCAAGGATCAAGAAGAAAGAGCTCTCCAGAGAGCCGATGAGGGCTGTTTGCCATGTCAGGTCCAATTCTTGAAAAAGAGACAAGGAAAGTTCAGGAGCCCGCCACAGAGTAACGCTGGATGGGTGGACGGGACCTCCAGATGCCTGTGGAGGATGGAAGGTGTGCACATGCTCCCCACACTAGCCCAGCTTGCCCACGCACCTGTGAGTCTGCACCTCATTGTCTAGCAATGGAGAGACGCCCCTCCACTGTCCCCCCCATCATCAGCCTTTATTTCTTTTATTATGGAATCTGACTGTCTTAATTCCTGATGAGGACCAGGGCCGACTGGACTGGACGCGGCATTGGTCTCTGTTAGAGATTGGACAGAAGGCTCCAGAAAAACCTGGAAGCCTGCCTCTTTATCACCAGCGGTCCAAAGTTCACACAGAAAGAGCTAGCAGTCAACCGTGTTCCTAGAAGCTAAATAGGCGGCCCTTTCTGCTCCCATCACCCCCACTCTGTACCCCAAACGGGAAAAAAATGACTCCAAAATAAACCCAAAGGTGATTCTCTACTCTGTGTGTAACATTGTGAGTCATCGTCCCCACAGGGAACAGTCATGATCATCAGGTGTCTGCTCTAACATTAGCGGTACTGACACTGGACAGCCAGCATTTCTCCACAGTGTGGGGGCGGGGAAACAGAAAGGCCCCGCCCACTCCCCTGTTCTGTGATCCCTGCTTGCAAACCCGTCCACCACGCTCCAGTATCCCTGCCTGGGGGCGGGGCAGCCTCCAGGTAGCACAGGGCTCAAAGGGAACTCCATGGTCACCGACACTCCATAAACACACTCATATCCACACGCTGCACATACACACATATGCACATCACAGGCAGACACACGGAGACTGCCAACACGTACCACTCACACACACACACACGCGCGCGCGCACACACACACACATATATATATATATATATATATATATATATATATGCCACAGATATGCACACACCACAGACCCACATGCTATTGCCCCCTTTATCTCTAACTCCCCGTGATGTTCTTGGATGTTATTCTAGGGAAAAAAATTTTTAAAATCCTAGCCCAGAATGGGAAACATTCATGCTGGAACTCCCATGCCCAGAATTGCTCAGCCCTCTCTCGTTCACCTGTGCTCTTGGTGCACAGCCGGTACTGTGTGCCAAGCAGGGAAGTGTTCTTGGGAAGGGAGCAATCAGATCCCGACTGGACAATGCAATGATTTGGTGAAACCTTTCCCCCTCTTTCAAAGGCCACTGAACCTTCTCTGCCAGGCGCAGTGTTGGTGGCCAGGATGACAGCAAGATCCAGCGGGTGCTGCTTCTGGGAAACCGGCTTTGCACGAGGAGAAGGAGAAACAAGAAAGATGACATCAGGCAGAGGGTGATGAGCCTAACTGAGCTGTCTTTCCACTCAGGAGACATGAGTCATAAGTCATGGCAGTGTGACCATGACAAAGAATAGCCTCAGAGAGGTGGCAAGTGTGGGCCTTCATGAGGAAGAGCCATCTGAGAGAACAGGACTCAGAGTGAATCTCAGCTCTCCGGAGGTGGAGGTGTGGGGGGGGGGGATCAGAAGTTCAAGGTCATCTTTGGCAATTAGTAAGTTTGAGGCCAGCCTGGGCTACAGCAGACAGTCTCAAAACAAAGGATGTGGGAGCCGGATATGGTGGTGCATCCCTTTAATCCCAGCACTAAGGGGCTAGAGGCAGCAGATCTCTGTGCGTAGGCCTGATCTACACAGCCAATTTTGAGCTAGCCGGGGCTACATAGTGAGACCCTGCCTAAAATAAGAAAAAAAAAAAAGGTGTGGGAGTGGGGCTAGAGCACAGCAGTGCCTCGTTCACCTGACAGGGACAAGGTCCCAGGACATCAACCCTCAATACCACAACAAAATAAAATGACTGTGCCAGGAATTCCTCTGTCTCAGCCCCCACTTTGTCTCTCTCCTAACCTGCCATTGGCTCTCACTTGGTCACCGGGTCCAGCAGCTTAACACATGAAGGAACTTACTGATTTCACGCTCTACTATAGAATCATTTAATACAAACAGCATGGTATTGGCAGTGTTTTCAGTGTCCTCATCTGTAAAATGGGCACCGTTGTGGTACCTACTATGTGACAGCTGAATTAATAGTAATTAATAGTAATTGAAGCTAAGCCTCTGCTTGGCATTCATTCTTACTTAGTACTGTAATTTAGGGGAGATTTTGTTTTGTTTTATAAAAATTGAGAGCACTCGGGAGGCAGAGGGAGGCGGATCTCTGTGAGTTCGAGACTAGCCTGGTCTACAAGAGCTAGTTCCAGGACAGGCTCCAAAACCACAGAGAAACCCTGTCTCGAAAAACCAAAAAAAAAAAAAAAAAAAAGACAAGCCCTGAGACCCGGCTAGTAGGTCTACTAGCCTGTGCTGTAATTCTGCCCCACCCCCCACCCCGGCCCTCCACCCCCCTCCCGGCTTTTTCTTTGTTTTTTTTTTTAATATTTGTTTGTTTATTTATTATGTATACAATATTCTGTCTGTGTGTATGCCTGCAGGCCAGAAGAGGGCACCAGACCCCATTACAGACGGTTGTAAGCCACCATGTGGTTGCTGGGAATTGAACTCGGGACCTTTGGAAGAGCAGGCAATGCTCTTAACCTCTGAGCCATCTCTCCAGCCCTTTTCATTTGTTTTTGAGAGTCTAGTTTAAAACTGAATGGCCTTGCTGGGCGGTAGTGGCTTGCCTTTAATTCCAACACTCCAGGAGGCAGAGGCAGGTGAATCTCTGTGAGTTCGAGGCCAGCCTGGAGTATAAGAGTTAGTTCCAGGATAGGATCCAAAGCTGTCTCGGAAAACAAAACTGACTGGCCTCAGATTTGCGATGTGGTTGAAGATGACCCTGAGCCCTTGGTTTTACCATAACCTCTCAAGTCTTGGAATTGTAGGCTTTGTTGGCTGGGTAACATTCTGGAATTTTTAAAAAAGTATCTCCTTTCTCACCTGTAGGGGGCGTGTGCCCAGTGTTGTTCATCTTGGTTACTAGTCAAATGAGCACACAAATGAACGAAACGATTGAGTCAATCTGTGGTGGATTCACGCTACTGGCATTCAATAGCGCTTCGTGCCAGGATCTGTTCAGGATGCTAAAAATAGCGATGAACAAGGCAGAATTTACCCTTGACCTCACAAGGACTGACAGAGAAGACAAATAAATATACAAGCAGATTAGGTCATTTTACACGGGACAAAAACTGTGTGGAAAACAAGGTCAGTCGGCAAGGGCAGGCTGAGTTTGGGTGGTCGGGGAGGCGTCGCTGCGGAGCACCCCGAACTGTGGCGCCCGGTGAGCACAGCGGCGGCAGGAGGCCCCGCCTCGGCTCGCTCA